TGCAGTATTAAAACATTGTGGCCTTTCTGGAAAAATTGATTTACCATATATGCCTACAAAAAACAGCTCAGATCTATGATGCATGTTTGTTTATATAAATGCGATAAAGTTTAAAAACAACAATCAGATGTTAGAAAAATTATCTGATCAGCTATCAAAATTAATAAATATTCCTTTTTCTGATTGTTTGAATGCATTTCAAGTTTCAGAATCAATATTGGAAGAGTATGCGATAGAATTAGCATATTATTGTTCAGTTGATATATTGCAATTACATAAATTGAACTTAAAGCAAATTGCATATATGACAATTTCTAATGTTTTTACCAATAGTATCAGATGTTTAATACGAAATTTGCTTAGCAGATATGCATCATCTAAAAAGATTTTAGTATTATCACGATGCAAGGGAATTGTTGAACAAGGAATATATGATGATGGTCTGGTCATTCCACCAATTAAGAATATTAAAAGACCTGTGACAGATGTTAATTTTACTTCATATTACCCTCATACTATTATACAAAACAACATATCACTTGAAAAACGTATACCAAAAGATTCAACTAATCCTAATTTAAATGTCGTAATTGACAATGACATTGTCTATAGTAAATTTTTACCACATGACAATGATATAAACAATATAGATATTATGGCTCTTATGTGTAAAGAATTATTAGAAAAATAAAATAATGTGAAGCAAAAGATAAAATTGTTCAAGAATGATGAAACAAAACTTTTATACTACACTTCATTATTAAATGCATTAAAAATATTTGCAAACTCTGTATATGGTAAGACAGATTACAGATATTCACCATTATATCATAAAGAAGTTGCTTCATCAGTTATAGCATTTTGTAAAGCAATATTAAAGATCATGATTGATTTTGTGAAAGAACAAGAATTTATAGTAGTTTATGAAAACACAGATTCTATATTTTATTCATTGCCAGAATCATATTTCACAGAACTTGATATTAAGTACTCTGACAAATTATTATCAAAAAAAGAATATTGGGAGGAGCAGATTAAATTAACAATATTATACTCAAAGATACTAGAAACAAAAATTAATGAATACTTGAAACAGATTATGAAGTCCACATACTTGAAGATGGCCTATGAAAAAACCATGTACCTTTTTTTAATTTTTGGAAAAAAGCATTATGTTGCAATTACTCATTCAGATATACCAAATTTAGACAATTTAAATTTACTATTGAAAGGTCTTAAAACCATTAAACGTAATGTGCCAGAGTTTTACAAACTAGTAGCGAAAGAATTAATATATTCTTCACTTGGATTTAATAAAGATTTCTCAATCAGACAAGAAGAAATAGACCAAAAAGAATTAGTCATCCAGATAATCACTAACTATGTCAATAAAAAAGAAACACTATTAGACTTGTTTGTTCTTACAACCAAGTTTGACCCAACATATGCTTCAGTATCAGCAGTCGATTTTGTAAGATTATTAAACAAAGATCTGTCAAAAGAAGAACAAAATGAAATACTTAAGCAAATTACAAAATCTGATACAAAAAAAGGAAACAAGATGGTTAATAGTTTTATTGCTAGATTGAAACACCCTATTGAGCCAGAACAATTCTACTATTATGTAAAATTTCTACCATGTGTATCAAATGTTTCACACAAAATGATTTTAACAGACCATTTTGCTCCAGAGAAAGATACTATTGATATTGTATACTATTTTTATAGCTTGTGAGACATTGTGGCTCATCTTTTAGGCTGTGAGGAGAAGCAAGCTCTTAAAAAAATAAAGGAAATATTCGATGCTGAGGAACTTAAAAAGCAACAAACAATAACAGAATTTTTTGTTGAAGAGAATCAACAAAAGATAACTGAGTTTGTTAAAACAATACCTGATATGACTAAACGAAAACCAACTGAAGAATTACACAAACAGAAAAACAATAAAAAACAAAAAACTCAATTAAAACTAGACAAATTTTATTACTCTGATATATCACATAAACATAAATTACAAGCTAATGAACAACCAGAATCAAGTAAACAAAAACATATATAAAGGTAAAAAAAATTCTTTCTCTCTTAATTTTAATAAGATGCAATATCAATTATTTAATAACAACCAGATCAAAATTATGGATTATGTTGAAATAACAAAACTTTACATGAAGATGCAAAGATCTTCTTCACTAATAAACTTTCTAACAAAAAACAAGTTTGATATTGATAAATTCAATGATTTTATACTATTAACAGAAAAACATGCCTGATTGAAATCCTCTTCTCAACTTTACAACCTATCAATCGAACCATTAATTGATTTGAAGATGATAATTATAACAGAATTAATTTATTACAATGATCTTACTTTTATAAAAGAACATGTATTCTATTAGTAAATTTATGTAAATACATTATAGATGCAATTAGCACTTTACAATTTATCTGTTCAGTAAAATGTACTGAACAGATATTTATTTACATAATTATGCCTCAAGAAAAACACAAATGCAAAAAAATTAATCCATATTCTATAAAGAATTTTAAAAACAGAAAACTATTTATTTATTTACCAAATGATATACTTTATATAATATTTTTACTATTAATACCTTCAGATATCACAAAATTATCAAAATTTACATTAAATGATCAAAGATTTGTTGAATTTTGAAAACTAAAATTTGTGTGTAAATTATTCTGTCAGTTTTATAGATATTATTTCACTCAATTTGGAACAAAATATTATTTGATCCAAAAGAAATACAATCGAGATTATGAACCACCAAAATGTTTCAAATAGAACATATGTTACTGTTCAAAAAACATCTGAATTGATCTCAAAGATGGTGATGTTGATTCTTACTCTAAATTTTTTCACTCTTATAAACTTCATATACATAATAATCAATTATACTGTGATCATTTCAAGAAAACTTTGATGTTTATTGAATCGAATGAACTTGAAACATATAGAAAAAGCAGATGTCAGAATTGTGAATCATTTACATATTGTGTAGTATATTCTTATGATTTTCCAACTCATT